GAAGTATGTGCTCCCCTCTGTGCTTCAACCTATGCCTCAGTGTTTCCTTGGAGTTTCGTTAAGCTGTATAGCACTAGTGTGATTAATGTGTTACTAAAATACTGAGGCCTCGGTGGAACGCCAATATTGGTATGGCGTTTGCCCAGACAGTATGCGCGTGTACAAATTGCTGATATGCGTCTTTTGTCTGTCAATATGTCGTTGTAAAGAGCCCCCACCACATATTCGCAATTATCTCACCAATCAAGCTCCCCTTTCTCGTTATCCTATTAAACTGGATACAGTACGCATCAAATATATCATCTATTATTTAATTATTTATCACACATTCATCACTATTATATAATTAGAGTCATCTCATTGTGTATGTTTGGAGTTCTCACGTTTTCAGTCTCCAGTCCACTTGGTTTTCAACAAAGGGACGAACTCTATTCCCTTCGCACTTTACTGCTTTGGACAAGGTTTACTTCGATCCGAAAGATCAAATCATACTAGTATACCCGGTCATCGAGTTAATGGTCATAAAAAGTTGCACTAAGACTAGCCTTTCATTTTACTTTAAGCTTTATCCCCGTTTCCATTATTTCCGGCTAAGCAATCTTGGCAGATTGTTCCATTATGGTTACCCGAATCGTTAAGTAGTGATAATAATTTACCTCAACCCTAGGCCTTGTCGATGGCGGCTGTTCACATCTTCTACATACATAGTGAGTAGTCAACAAATTGGCAGGCTTTAACACTGAAGCCATATTTACACTCACCAGACATTTACAATAGTAAAGCATAAAAGCGAGTAAAAACAAAAGTTTCTAATGCTACAGAAAAACTCGTGTCCCTTTTTTAGGAAAACTTCTCTGAATGCACAAACTTTTCGCGACTTTCTTCAGATCTTTCAGGTATGACTGTAGAAAAGGATTGGCTTTCTTACCTCTTTGAACCGGCTACCCTGCTGGCGGATCTTAACAGCCTTTCTGATGCACAAAAAGTCTCTCTTATGAAGCAGTTCTTATCACAAGCTGAAATGCACGACCGACGTACAGCCAACTCAGGTGTTGCTAGCACTGTATGTGTCCCTGATCTTCAGGCACAGCTTCAGGATGCCCTTATGCTTCCCGAAGAACAGCCTATCTACGACAAGTCCAAGATGCTGGACACCTTAGCTCTCCAAATCGCCGCCTCTTTCAATTTTCACGTGAACCTCTTCAGTGGAGTGGTCACCGAGTTACCCCTTCGTCTCTCCTCTCGTC